CCTTAAAACATTAACCATGGAAAGGCTTAATCACAATTTAGATTTGGAGCTTTGATATAGCAGTTTTCCTTTGGTGATGTGCTTCCCCATTAAGCAAGAATTCCTTTATTTTGCATTGATACCAAAGGCTACAATTCTAGCACAGTTTGAATATTACAGGCAAAACTGTCTAATAAAAAATATAGATGTAGGTATAGTGTTATTTACATTTTACAGGTATGTAGGTATAGTGATATACTAATTTAAATATTATAGATAATAAATAGTCTAGAATGATCAGCAGCCATTATTAGTCCTTGTGAGGACACTTATTTGATTAAAGACAACAATACTTGACTTCAAAACAGTTAGATTTGCATAATTTACAAGAGATTTTGTATTCATTGTCATAACTTGAGTTTCCAGACGGAAACTCAAATCAAAATTCATAGAGGTATTTCAGTACAAAGGTTTTAATCATTAAATCTTTGGTTTTAACTCTTTTTTCGTAATAATACTTTAGGTCTAGAATTTGATTTATCTGTTCAAATTAATGTTCAAATTAATGTTGTTCTGAGTCTGTTCATATGTATAACTTCTATATCATTATCTGGCTCAGATGGAAATGACTTAGTTGACCATACCTGATCTCTAAATGTAAAATTAAATACAATTATATAGAACTATACTTTTTTTTTAATGCACACACGCACACGCACACACATACATATATATATATATATATATATATATATATATATATATATATTTATTATAAACGGTTACATTGGAAAATGCAAGTTGTGTATATATATATATATATATATATATATATATATATATATATGGGAAAATGATATATAAATTTTTATATGTCATTTTGTATATCATTTGTTGCTCACTGTAAATAGCTTCACCATAATTTTGTTTGAAAACATGTTTCAAAGGAGAAAGCAATCAAGAAAAGCAAAAATGTATAGAAAGTGCTTTTTATCGCTAGATTATCCACAGAAAATCTGTGTCCAGGTTTGTACATTTCAAATTTTTGGGGCAGATTTTCTATTATTACAATCTGGGATATTTAATAATAAATGTGAAGGCAATATGAACAAAAAGAAACTAAATGAAATCAGATTATAGAACCAAAATATTTTTTTTTTTTAAATTAATTTAAAACTCTCAGCATTCCTTCTCCTTCATGCTTATGTGTAATCACATCAATGTCACATCCATCCAATGAAGTCCTAAAAATGAAACATGTCACATAAAAGATTTTTTCCACTTTGTCATAGTTTTCCTCCTGCACACATATATGTGTGTGTGTGTGTAATTGAATAACAAAATGGAAAATCTCTATGATTAATTAATTCTAGATTCTATACAGAGGTTATATAATATATATTTCCCATATATATATATATATAAATAAAATAAAATAATTCTAGCAATTAATATATATAAAATTATATAATTTAATATATATCAAAGTGAACAGAATTTCTGCTAATAAAATGCTTGACCATTAGTTTTCAAGTGTCTTGAATAGTAATGAAAACAAATTACAAAACTCAGAGTTGATCTCAATAAGTATTGAATCATATTTTATATATATATATATATATATATATATATATATATATATGTATGTATGATAACACATAAAAGGAAATATATGGGCACATGACCGAATGATTATCACATTCACATTCTGAAAATGAGACCTGAGTTCGAATCTCACCATGGTGAATTTATCAGGAAAGAGACTTCCCGATGTTATCAGACTAGAGGGGCCGATCCCAGCATGCAGCACCTTTGGAAAGTGCCTGAAAACCATACCACAAGTTGACCCAAGCCTTGTGAGGGAAATTGGGTAGGCGGCATCCCTGGGGCCTATTAATAGCTGTGCTAGCATGAAGTCACTAGTCATCGTGGCTGAGAGTTTGAGCTTCTGGCCTTGTTCAAATTGTTGACCAAGCTAGATAACACACTCTTGCCCAGAAACTGTAACTAAGGTCTGCTCAGTATAGTTGCAGTATAAACCACAGATCGGCTCTGTGGGTGTTGAACAAACATAAAATGCACCTGAGCAAGCTTCTGCGATAAGGATTGGCTAGTCGCCCTAGTAGACGGGGATCCTCAAATACGAGTGGCCAGCTATACATGCATGTGTGCGTGTGTGTGTGTGTGTATATGATAACACACAAGAGGAAACATTGTAAAATTTAGAGCCAAATCATAATTCTTATGTTTTGGCACTGAAATACTCATTTTGGGGAAGTGAATTAGGCTGAGTATTTTTCAGCACCACTTGTTAATTACTATATATACAGTGTTTCTATATAATGATTATGATATCTTAAATTACCAAATAAAAATCAAATTGACTTAACAGAAATATTTTTATGTAATATGTATCGTGTTAATTTTTCAATATTTTTTCAAATAATTTAGAACACTCTTTACAGATTTGTTTTTATATGATCATTATATGATATATATTTTTATGTGATCATTATATGATATATATTTTTATACAGTTACAGAAAATTGTTCATTACAATTCTGGTTTGTAATTTTGACAATTTTTCTCCTTTGCATCTGTTTGACTAAAACAAGTAAAAAACCTATATAAAGTAACCTTTGAAAATTGATGGAATATTTTACTTATTATGAAAAAGCAAATCCAGTGACTTTTATCACATGTTGTCCCTTCGCAAGAACTTTTGTTCTCTGTATATATTTTTTAATAAAATAAAAGCTATGCATTTTATTATCGCTGATAGAATAACATTTTCATATTAATCAATTTCGGGGCTTGATTTTCTTAAGAGGTGAAAAAAAATACACATTTTTCTTTTCCTTTTTTTACTTGTCCAAAAGGCATAGCTTTTAGAATCCAAACATTCTGCTTTGTTCCAAATCATTTTTTCATTTTCTATTCGAACAAGCCTCTAAATTGGTAAGTGTAATTGTCTTGGTAAGATAGAAATTTCATGTCTTTTTTTTTTTTTTTTTTCAATAGTTGCATTCCTGGTTTTGTTCTGGTGACGGCAGAGACCTGCCTTCTCCTCTGCTTTTTTTCTTTAGATAATTTCATATTTTATTTAAAACGCACCATTTTCCAGTGACAAAAATGTTGTGGAAAGACATTAAAAATGCTGATGATAATTTTTCTATTGAAGGATTTTATCATTAGTCTTCTCAGTTTATGCTAAATTAAATTTTTATCTTCTACCCAAATTTTTAAATTTATCTTTTTGTTAAATAACTCAAATGTATATTTACTATCCATCACAAGTATACATTTGAGCTATTTAATTACTTAACATATCAGCATTGAAAAAACAGTTATGGAATAATCCCATTGACCAAGATTGATTTTACACAGAAAGTTTAAAGTTTTTTCAAAATTCATCAAAAAAAGTTTATATGTAGAAAAGCAACACAATGTGGAAAAACATCAATTTGCAATGTCAAAGGAAAGCTGATTTTCAGGACCAAAATTTATTTTTTGTTATTACTAAAAAAGAAAAAAGGATATAACAGTATACACCATATTGTATCAGTATCTATATTTAATGAAACATTAATTACTTAGGTTTTACAAATAAGTTCTTAAAGACATCAGGATTTTTCCATGTAGCTACAACATTAAATACATGAATTCTCAACATGAAATGTCCAAGCAAGTTGACAAATAAAATAAAACCTAGTTCCTTTTTCATATTTTTTATTTATTAAACTGTTTCATACGAAGTAAAATTATTAACAACAACTCCTTGTTTTAAAAAATAGTACTTTTAATAATTTCTGAACTGAACACCCAAATAAAAATTACACAGATTCTTTTTTTTACACTTTTCATAAGTTTAAATAAGATTTATATTTTCATGAAAAAATGTATTTTAATATCCTGAAATTTGTCACGTTAAAATTTGTGGAAATAACAAATAAAACTTATTTTGTTTTTGTGGAGTTTACCCATCATGAGCATTTCAAATAAACAAATTCTCTTTAAAAATGTTGCTTAACAATTTTTGCTTCGATAGAAGATGACGAATAGGCCTTTCAATTATTGATCCCTTTGTCTTTACAACAACTGAAGATCGAATTTATCATGAGGAATATTTTAAGCGTTTTCACAACATTATTAGAACTGGAAAAATTTAACAGTTATTTATCGATATTTTTTATCAAATAATATTTCGTAGCGTACAAGGGAAATAACTGTTATTCATTAAAGGGAAGCAACTTTGAATTGACTGTTGATTATGGTATTTTTACAAACTAATTCATTTGTTCAGTTTTTTATATTTTATTTTTAATTTATATAGATATCATGTAAAGTGAAAATGTTTGTAACGTGAGTTAATTTAAGTAAAACAGGTAACAAAGATTTAATTGGGGATTTTGAATACAAATACATAATTTTCCTCATATATTTTGTAATATGATTAAGAATTTTTTCGCTTAAATTTTTGTTAAATGAAACAATTGAAATTCGTTTTTTTGTGTGTCATATAACGTCTAGTTTTTTTATGAACTGTTTTTTAATCACACAACTTAATTAATTTCGAAGCTGATAATCTGATTTTGGTGGAGGTACTGATGTCGATTTATAAGATTTTCACATAACCAAGGCATAATTCACTTTGAATATTTAAATATTATAAAATTAGAAGATTTGATTCGTTATACAAATGAATCGTATTTCATAAGATTCTTTTGTAGAATAGAACTGTAAAATTCCTTCGCTTTAATCTATTTGAAACTGGACACTCTGTAAACCATCAAAGTACTGTTGTTTTTTGATAACCAACAAACAATATTGAACTAAACTCCTCCAAAATATATTATTAGCCAGGAAATTAAAATGTTAACGGGTATTTTCTGCCAATGAAGATCAACTAAAAACACTTTAATTGTACTTCTAGAATATACAGCTGTTTCATTTATACCGTCTTTTGACTTTTGTTTATGAATTAATTAATGAATTATAATGTCATCTTTTATTTCATTAGGAGGATCGTGAACGTGGTTACAATATAATCAAATTCGACGTAACAGACGATGACCTCAAACCTAACGGAGGCCCTTTCTCTTTTGATATAATTTCTGGTCTCGGCCGTGAAAAATTCCGTATAGACCACGATGGCACATTACGCTCTTTTAGAAACCTTGATCAGAAAATCAAGGATAGATACGAGCTGACGGTTCGAGCCTACGATAATGGCAGTCCACCACTTTACTCTGATGCTACGGTTACCATTGAGGTCACAGAGGAAAGCACAGTCCCACCAGAAATTTCAAACCTAGAAATTTCCATCAACTCCTACCAAGACAAATTCCCAGGTGGGATAATCGGCAAAGTTAGCGCTAGGGACGATGATATGCATGACACGCTAAAATTCAAGATCGTCTCTCTGAACTTGCATCTTTTTGACATCCACGAAGATGATGGTCGGATCATAGCCAAACCTGGCCTCGACGCTGGTCGTTATTTAATTAATGTCAGTGTTTCTGATGGAAAGTATTCCTCGTATGGTAGGGTGATGGTTGACGTTACCGTCATTACAGAGGATATGGTAAAGAACTCTGTGACAATTCGCCTGGGCAATGTCCAGCCGGACCAATTCCTTCGGCGTCACCTCAGGGACTTTCTAAAAGTTTTGAAGAATGAGATGTCTATCCGTAGCAGAGACATTGAAATTATTGGTCTCCAACCCGCTGATATGACCATTGAGGCCCTGACTCGGCCGAAACGTTCTACGTCAGACGACTTGGACGTTTTGTTTGCAGTGAAAAAATCTCACAACTCGTACATGCGGGGCAGCCTGCTGAGAAGAAGAGTGCAGAACGCAATACCTAAAATTCAGGCTGCCCTCCGTCTGAAGGTGCTCAAAGTCTTCAGTGATGTATGCGAGAAAGATACGTGCGAGATTGGTACCTGCATAGGGCTTGTCGAGGTCGATAAAGAACATCCTAGTGTTACGGAGATCGGTGGACGGAGTTTTGTGTCGCTCAAACATCAACACACGTACGAATGCAAATGTCAAGAAGGTAAGTAAAACTTCTGGTCTACTTGATTCTATTTACTTATCTAATTAATGAATTTACTAAGAAACGTATTAGTAAAAAAAAGAAAAAAATTTAAAATATAAAAGAAATGCTCATTTTTATTTCCACTCTCTCTTTCTCTCTCAGTAATTGTCGATAGTCTCTCAGTTTTTTTTTTATATTCTTTCTTTCTCTCTCACTCTCTCTCCCACCCACTAGCGTGTGTACCCACACTCAACTTGCTTTCTTTCTTTCTCTCTCTCTCATTCTCTCAGTAACTGTCTATACAATCTCGCACATTATTTCTCTTTCGCTCCTACTAGTGTGTTCATATACAGGCGCGCGCACACACATTCCACTTGCTTTTGTTCTCTCTCTCTCTCTCTCTCTCTCTCTCTCTCTCTCTCTCTCTCTCTCTCTCTCTGAGAAATTGTCGGCACAGTCACACACATTATTTTCTCTCACGCTCGTTCCCACTAGCGGGTGCACATACAAGCACCGCCTACTCTCTCTCTCTCCTCTCTCTCTCTCTCTCTCTCTCTCTCTCTCTCTCTCTCTCTTCTTCATGTTTCTGGTGTTAAAATTAAGCACAAATCCTGTGATATTTTACAGATAAGTGCATCTGGTACTTAGACCCTTGCATTGGTCACCAGTGTCCACCTTACAAAGTTTGCAAAGAAACAGATATGTCAATAGCACAGTGCATATGTCCAGAGGGCAAGACTGGGATCTACTGCGATGAAGATTCTAGGCCTGATTGTGCCGAAACAGGTTGTCGACATGGTAAGTAATAAATATAACGTAATGACAAATGTATGCAGGTGTAGGCTTTAAGAAAGCTTTATTCAAATGAGAATACACGTTCGCGTATAGTGCCCTTTTATAGTCCCAGTAAACAGAAATAGCTCTTTCAAAGAGGAGAGTAACAAAACAAGGGGAAACCACTCTTGATTATTCATAACATATAGATTACACTTTTTCATGATATCTCTATTCATGAAATAATACATTTATCTTTGTATTATTTGATTCCTAAATAATTTATTTGAATAATCATTTTATGACTGTCCCGGAAACAATATTTTACAAAGTCATGTGAGTCTGGGTAAATTTCAACACAAGGTATAATGAAATGGACAACATTGGCAGCAGATGATAGAACAATTTAAGATTACAGCTGACGACGAAGAGAAAAAGCATGCCGAGGATTCAGATCAAATAGTCATAAAATAAAATACGTTGGTTTACTTTACAATACACTATAGAATTATTATTGTTTTGTTTGCATAGTCATGAAAGAGAAGTTGAACTTGTTAAATATTCATACACAATCCTCAGTTGAAGTTTCTAAAGAGATAAAATACTTATATGCCGCAAATATGTTTTAGTGAGTTGCAAGAGGTAAAATGTCTCTCTCGTGGTCGGCGTAAAAAGAGATCGAGGCTTTAAAAAAACGCGCCTTCTGTAATTCTAATCTAGGGGCGGTAATCCCACATATTTTAGCAAAGATAATTTTATGATGAGTAATTAATAGAGTTGTTCCTCGTCGTGTGTGTACAATTAGACACAAACAAATTATAGATTTTTATAGTTTAAAATTCTGAGATTAGTTGCTATTGTTCCACGCGTTCTTTGAACTAATATTCTCTTCTTTGTTGGAATAAATATTTTCAATGTTTCATGGATAGTTAGGATCTTCTTAAAGCCATTGATGGGTTCTCTTGTCGCTTTCAACATATGAGGATCCGACAACTTGATGATGACGCTTTTCGCTGTTGTCTTTCCTCATTTAGCCGGTCAGTAAGACTGATTTAAAAATTCCTGATATCACTCTGGCACACATATCTCCAGTTATTTCTGTCCAGGGAAATTTTTACTTTTATTAAACCTTCATCTGAGTATGTGAAGACAAAGAAGAAAGAAATTCTGGTATTTTTTACTTTTGCGTTGTTTGATTTTCAATGGTTAATCATGTTTCCTGGGCAGAGCATAAATTTGTTCCAAATTGAAGGAGAGATGACGCGCTCATTTGAAATTGAATTCGGAACGCCGCAAATTATACTAACGTTTCTTTAAGCCGAAGCTTTAAGAAAATTGAAACATGTTAGATTAATAAACGTTTCTGATTTATTTTTTATCTTATCATTCTGCCGGATTCCGATCCATGTTTGATCTATATTTGATCCGAACTATATATATATATATATATATATATATATATGGTTGGATTGATGTGAGTTTGTGACCAGGTTACCTGATATTGAGCGCTTTCTAATAAGTACCGCGCATATAATATATAAATAATAATATATATATTACACATATATATATTTATATTTTTATTTATATACACACACTTTTCACATATATATATTATGAAATGGACAAAGTCCGACAATTATTTTAAGACATTTTTTTATGTTTATAAGTTCTTTTTATAGATACAAATATTTAAGTAAATGCTCAGTTTATAATAAACAGTACCGGCCTGAATGTTTTCCGACAACATTTACCGGCCTGAATGCGCCCTCCGACAGGAATCGAACCTGTATACAGGTTCGATTCCTGTTCGAGGACGCATATTTTCTATGAAAATTTTTCGAACATTCAGGACGGTAAATGTTGTTAATACTGTTTATTATAAACAGAGCATTTACTTAAATATTTGTATATATACAAGAACGTGTAAATATAAAAATGTCTTAAAATAATTGTCGGACTTTGTCCATTTCATAATGTGTTGCGTCATTTGTTTACATTTGGATACGCATCGAGTAGATATGAATGTCTGAGAGAAAATCATGGAGAATTGTGGTTTAAAAACAGTAAAATCGACCTTGCTAACCGAAACGCTCCTCTGTGGCTCAATCGGTAAAAGCACGTCAGGCTATATAGGATACAGGTATGATTCCTGCCGGAGGACGAATATTTTCTATGAAAATTTCTCGGACATTCAGGCCGGTAAATGTTGTTAATACTGTTTATTATAAACAGAGCATTTACTTAAATATTTGTATCGATAAAAAGTTACGTATAAACATAAAAAATGTCTTAGAAATATATATATATATATATATATATATATATATATATATATATATATATGGGACTGCAAATTAGTATAATGGTTTTCGGCATAAATAAAATAATTTTGAATTTCAAGCTGCTTTAAACTGATATGCTTGTGAAGATGCGCCTTGCTACATACACTGGCAAAATCAGCCCTGTTCGCTTTGTATTCCATTATTAAGTTCCATTCTTCCCAACAACCGCTACCTTTTGGAACATGCTCCGATCATCTTAACTTGTTCAAGTCTATGGTTGAACATTGTCTTTCCTATATATCCTTCTCTTTTGTCAAGACAAGAGCCTCATTCAGTAACCCTCTACCTTGAGTAATCAGTTAGTAATTAGCACTGCTTGTGATAATCCATGTCGCTACAACTATATATAGTAGGAACCTTTGCTTATTGGATGAATTAAAGATCTGAAGGTAGTCAAAGAAACCCGTGTGAGGTTGAAACATAGTGATGTAACAAAAACAAATGACAATATTTCTTAAATATTTCTACCACTTTTCTTCCAATAAATTTTGGATGTATCTGCCTATATATATGTTTGGGGTACTCGTAACGTATCGGTTATCGCTTTGGAAAATGGAATCGACTAGCCAGGTTCAAATTCTGGTTAACGTTGTAGCATTCGCTTTCGTATATATATGGCTTTGAGTGGAGTATGAATCCATCTATTCTGGGTTAAATAGAAAAAAAAGTGGTTGTTTGCCAGCCAGTCTAGGAGAAAGACAAAACTGGCTAATTATGAGGCAACTCCACCCTGTAAAACCTATTTGCGACTGAAGCTGCAGTGGTACCATTTAGCGTGGCTCTTTACTCTACAGGGCGTCTAAATTTCAGGAAGGAAGAAGGACATATTATGAAAGTATTGTGGAATATTAATTCATTATAAAATATTCTTTCTCTTTACAGATAATAGACCAATGACATTTGCTGGGCGTAGCTACGCCCGATGGACACTGGTGGATAAACATGGCTTCGAGAACCGATTAAGTGTGTCAATGAAAATAAAAACACGACAGAAAAACGCAAACCTAATGTTTGCCAGTGGAACTGTCGACTACAGTATATTAGAGGTAAGACATTGTAAAAACCTGCAATGTATAATAACGCACATCAAATCATGATTAAAACGGTGATTACGAAACTTAGTAATATGTACACATATGTATGTTTATAGTGTTTTATATATTTGGATTTATCATATTGTTGCGAGCCAGTGTGTGTGTGTCTTCTGAAATGCCCGCAACAAACATGGCAGAGTCGGAATGGGAGTCCACGTAAAGAAATAAAGAAACAACAAGAACATATATATATATATATATATATATATATATATATATATATATATAAACTAATAATAATGTATAAAGAAATAGCATGTTCCTTTCTAAATATTTAAAAATAAATAAAATTAAAAATGTGGAACATCTATATACGATATTAATAATACTATCTAGATGGCAATACATATCAGTACTTAATTTGAATAAACAAAATAAGGTAATTACCTGTAGAGGGTGCAGCATTATATACTAATAGATTACGGCTATAAGAAATGGTAATACTTTTTTTTTTTTTAAGTTTAGATATATTTTAAGGTAAAAATAAACTCTGTTGGCAATTTACAGTTAATTCACTCATTTCGTTTAACAAGGATTTTTTTTTTTTTTTTGTTAGCAAATTTAATTATTTGTAATTTTTCATGTAAACATAAGAAGAAGGGTTCATTTAGAGATGTACAAGTTCTTTTTTTTTTTTTTCCATTTTTCCGTAACGGTTTTAACAAGTTCTTTTTAAGTTACAAAAATATTTAGAAAGGGACGTGCTATTTCTGTATACGTTATTGCGAATAATAATAATAATATGTTGGTACCACGTAGTTGTAAAAGAATTCTTGGTACTCTTGATATGAATTTTTTTAATAATAATGTATTAACAGAACAAGGGTATACATAAGCAACAGAACAGTGTTGCGTGTTACTGAACAATGAACGTGAATGATGAAAATATTTAAACTAGTGAATTGTGTGTGTGTGTGTGTGTAGTTTGGTGTAGGAGAAAGTCCTAGACAAAATGAAGTGCAATGTGCGTGCGTGCGTGAGTGTGTTCCTTAGTGGGAAAGCGTTTTCCTCGTTCGACCTACATCTTGCCGTCCCTGAGTGAAAAAGGAAAAAAGAGAATGATAAAAATTATTGCAGAGTATGTATAGTCCTGAGAGCGACCCTAGTAGCGGTTTCGAAAATTAGGAGGTGGTAACCCGACAATATAACTATATATAATCGCATGTTATTTTACATTCTAAGGTTCCATTTAACAAAAGTTAATTCAACAAGCAATTCAGATTTACCTCCCTTACTATAACTATTTCTTCAGAAGCACCAATCATAAAGAAGTAATTTTGCTTTTCAAATCATTAAACGTAAAACTACTGAAATTCACAAAACAAAAGAAGCAAATATCACTGTATTAGAATCTCAGTCTCACTATTTAGTAATATTTCATTGTTATGGTACCTTGAGGCATGTTTCCTTCGTGTAGCATCATTGCTTCGTGCTACCATAACAACGGAATATTTCATTACTAATAAGTGATACCATGTTGCATGATCAATAATTATATAGTCATATTTTGTGCGCGCGCGTGTGTGTGTGTGTGTGTGTGTAAGGAAAATGAAAATGTTTACAAATAACTATACAAAAAATATAGCTTTTAAAAATTAACAACTCTTTTGAAAAATTTCAACTAATTTATAAATTATGTTTTATTTCAGCTCTATAACGGAATGGTACAATACAGATTTGAATGTGGAAGTGGGGTCGGCCGTGTCCAACTCCCTCGCAAGATCAGTGATGGGGACTGGCATACGATCTTTGTGGAACGTATGGGAAACACGGCCACAATCAACTTGGACGGACGTTACACGGCTTGGTCCAGTGCACCTGGCGAGCATGACGTCCTCAACTTGGGTAGCAACAACGTCTATTTTGGAGCCGAAGTGGAGACCTTTCCTAACGGATTCAGAAACATTAACAAAGGCTTCGAAGGTTGCATGGAAGACTTGAGGCTGCACAATATCCGACTGCCGTTCACTGACCGGAATGCAGTCGCCACTTCCCAAGAATTCCACAAAATTGAATTTAACTGCCGAGACAATGTTTGGGAAAAAGGTGACAGCGGTGAGTTGGAATTTGATTTGATTTTGGAAAATAAATGTATAAAGTTAAAATATACATACAAATATATATATGAATGATTTATCTAAGAATGGAAATTGTACCTTTTTCTCCCTTGGATCGAAAGTGAAAATTGCAAAATTTCCATTGCTGGTTTCCGATAAAGTTATCTCCCTTATCATTCGTCTGCGTGTCAGTGAGACCACGCATGCGCGTCACACTAACTCACACAGATATACACACTGTGAAAGTAAGAAAAATGGTAAATTTGCTGAATCATCATCATCATCATCATTATTAATAATAGAAAATTATTCAAATGTTTAGCTTATGGTCAGTTCTATGTAGCTGGAATAGGAAACTCAAGTTGTTTTAGTTTTATTATAATGACAAAAAGAACTTTGAAAATCGTATCATGATGAATGGTTGTTATCTCAAGGATCCCCCTTGGGAGACTTTTTAGTCCCAATAGGCGTTAAGCCTAATGGAACTAAACTTCACTCAAGCGAAACTTGTATACACGATACAGGAAAAATGGTCGGTTCTTTGTAACGCTCTAGTAAGTACCTGACTCCTCCTGATATGTTCTGCTTTTACAAGAGCCAGATTAAACCAAAAATTTAGTATTGCTGTCATATCTGGACTGGGGCTGCACAGTCTTCACTTTTTCCAGTTTTAGAATCGTCTATGCCGCTTTCTGGGTGATTAATTATTTTCCAATTTACAGACAAAACGTCACAAATCTCTCTACATGGCAAATGTCTTAACGTGGTATATTCTATAATTCTATCCATATTTCCTTCGTGATCCAATGGTAAGAAGGAAAAAGAACTGTGAAGCAGACCACGGAGAAGATTTTTCCCCGATCACTACAATTCTTAACCTCTTCAATTCTAGGGTTAACCCAAACCGTTATCTCTCCTACATAGCCTCATAAACAGCAATTCTTACCTCCTCTTCGTCTTGTGCTCATAACACTTTGTTCAGTAAATCTCGACCTTGAGTGATCCTTGGATGTTGATGTTATAATATATATATATATATATATATATATATATATATATATATATATATATGTCTTCAAGAAAATATTGTTTTTATAGAGGCAAGTTCTAGTAAGATAACATATATTAAAACTTACTTGTCTCTATCCGTAAGATAGGTATTCACCTCGTAAGAGGAAAACAAAATATTTAGTTTTTGTTTTTAAGATTAATTTATGATTTTTCTTTGGGGGGGTATTTTTAATCTAGATATTTTTAAAAAATTATGTTGCTGAGGAAAAGAGTTGGGTCCAGGACCTGACACTGGATCCACACCGGAAATATTACATTGAGGGTGTGAGTTATAACGCTGAGTAAACAATTATAAATCCCCTAACATTTATATATACAAAAATACTCATAAAAATGAGAAACAGTAAGATGTGGAAACAACAAAATGATTATTATTTATTATCTGGTTGTTATGTGGTCTTGGAGAAAAGAGAGACAGTAATATTGAATAAAATTTTGTGTTTGGTGTATGGATCAGAATCCGACAGCAGGATATGATAAAGAATAAGTAAAGTGTATACAGTTTTTCTCATATGTTTTTTGTTTTGTTTTTTTATAGATGTGTGTCCAGATAATTTATTTGGAAAATATTACAAGTGCCTGGATTTTTTTTTTAAATTTTTGTTGAGTGCTAAAAAATAGATGTTACTATTATGGCCTGTAAAAGGAAAAGATGAAATTTTCGTTGACGCGCGTGTTATTGATCTGTCCGTGTGTACTGCTTTCCGATAGTGAGATTGTCACGTGTTTAGAGGAGAAAAGCGGGGTCGATTCTCATTGGTTTAATGTGTAAGTTAATGATAATTATAACTGTTATAATTATTTTTTGCACTATAATTTTTATTTTTTTATGGGCTCGACAAGGAACATAAAACAACTTAGCATTTCAGAATTTTGGAAAACAATTTTTTATAAGTTCCTTCCAATCTAATATTCTTTTTGTCTTTATATTTTGTTTAATACAGATCCTTGTTCTACTTTCCCCTGCTTGAATGGAGGTCAATGCATTACCACAAGTCGTAACGGTTATACATGTGTGTGTGCACCACGTTTCCAAGGAAGCCGATGCGAAGTTGATACTAACCCTTGCGCAGATAACCCTTGCCTCAACGGAGGTAAGCAACCATGTTTAATTTTTTTTTCTTTTAATTTATTCTCAAAGAGATCGATTTTTGATTACAAGACTATGAAAGACTCTTCCAAAATCGTCAACTTGAAGAAAAAGAGTACCCGTGAGCAAGGACATCAGTGCCAAATAATGAATTATTTTATATGCTAATAGAATTTGTCTGTGTACCAAGTTACTAGCGTAATGTATCAAAATGACTGCGCCTATTTGAAATCAAAGGGAAACAACTATTCCCTGCTTATGAATATTAATTTTAAAGAGTTATTCTCCCTATTCAAAGGTATCTCGGTAGTCATCCAGCTTGTAATGTTATCCGCTGAAAGGCTGTTTTGTATTTAAAGAATTAACAGAACAAATAAATATCAAGCATTTTCCATTTCAGCACGTTTTATGCATCTTTTTTAGAAAACCATTTTGTACCTTAAGTTACCAAAAGTTATTGGTAGTACCTTGCACATTTAAGCTTTCAGTGTGTCTTCCAATGTCTAGTAAGTGAGACAAATATTCAAATATTCTTATTTTATATTTGAATGATGATAAGCCACCATCAGTTGGAGGTAAATGTTTCTAACATTGTTTAGCCAACTTTTTCATCTTTTATTTTCCAAAAACTCTCAACAGAAAATACTTTTTATTCAATGTTAGTAAAATATAGTTTTAAGAACCATGTCAAAAAAAAATGTCAGATATTGACCATGAATTTTTTTCATCCCCTAACTAATGAAAAAAATATCACCGCTCCATCTTTTTGACGATTTCATCAAAATTGGGACAAATCTATGCACAGCACATTTCTTGGAAATTCTTTCGTCCACTTGTTTTTGTTATATATATATATATATATATATATATTACATATCCACATGTCCGAATTCCAGACAATAACGAAATAAAAATAAAGAAAACATGGGCCGGTATACCTGTTAAATAAATCATTTGAATTTACAAATATACATACATAAATTCAACAGAGCCAAACAGAAGTAAAAATACGTTTTAGTTGAGTGTGGTACTGGTAAGACAACCAGATTACCTCCACTGTCTTAATTGTATAACTAAGTCAAGCCGTCTTAGACAAAACGCTCAATAAAGGCACACATTAAGCCAAACTTACATTGAGTTAAAAGTGTGTTTAAGAAAAGACTTTTGAATAAAATTTAAAACTACAAACTATTTACAAGTTTTTGTATATAAAGGTGTGTCAATTTTTTTTTTTTTTTGTGAATGTATCCTTCTGCATAAAAGGTCATATATCTGATAGAAAGTTTCTACACTGAGTAAATGTCATTATTCAAAGTTTACAGGAGAAAAGGAATTACAGTCCCAGTGCAGTTGTTGGCGAGTCTTTTGATCTCTAGCAGTTTTGCTTCCATTTTTGGGAGTCACCTGACAGATTTGTGCAAATAACCTGATTTTTTGAGTTGACTATGACTAGTTTCAAAGTTTGTAGTTATCTGTTTTCAGTTGATAGATATGCCAAAAGTTTTTAATTTACTCAGATCAACAGTGATATGTTTTTTGTTTTGTTTTTTTTTTCTGTTTTTTACAGCATCTATAAATTTCTAATCTTATTTTATTTTAAACCTTATTTTTGGAATATTTTCCTGGGGCCTGCCATTTTGATGTAGAAATGTTGATCACTTCATATTTTTAAGATACCTCTGAAATCTTTACATCTTAGCTATTTTAATTAATAAATTTTGAATATTATAACGAACCTGAATGTGATTATTTGTTCCATGAAACAATTAAAACTGTCAGGAATTTCAGTCAAATTACACAAAAATGAAATTAAAAACCACTGATATAAAAATCTTTCAAAGTCTTGAAAATATTTATTGAAATCTAAATGAAACAACTTCATTACATTCACATTAACACTTTCATTATATTTACTCTTCTCCCTCGGCTATGGGTTAAAAAACAGTGAGGACTGGGCTTACTAGCCATGGTTGGCAACTAATCTAATAGAAGGACAATTCTGAATTCAAAACTATATGTAGCCCTGGCATACTATGCAGCCATCAACAAAATGCAGTAAACCTATTGCTTCCATCTTTTGGGAGTCACCTGACAGATTTGTGCAAACAACCTGATTTTTTGAGTTGACTATCAATGTATTATTATTATGTTTTCACATTAAAGATAGCCAAAACAATAAAGCAACATTAGCCCTTAAAAATAATGATTGAAACCTTGACTTTCCAGTTTTTGATGTCAAATTTGTTTTATCAAGTTTTGTCATTCAGTATTTATGTTAAGGGATTTTCAGTTCTTAGAAATAAATACAAGGATTACTAACAGGTAGCATAGAGTGAATAGACATAGAATTTTCCATTTCCTTCTGGCAATTTGTTATTTGTATTTCCTTAAGACATTTCTTGCATTTGACATGTGACATTTTGTAGGTACTTGTCGCAACAACCCAGTCCTTCCAAATGATTTCTGGTGCAAATGTGTTGGAGGTTTGAAAGGTCGGCGCTGTGAATATGGCTATTATTGTGCAACTAACCCTTGCAGAAATGGTGCCAATTGTATTGAAGGACCTGACAAAGCCATTTGCCAGTGTGTTGGCCATTATGAAGGTTTGTATTAAATAATAATCTTTTTTTTTTTTTTCATCTTTTTTGGATTGCCTTATTGAGCAGAGAAAAAACATCAGATATCAATTTTAATGTCAACATTTTTCTTCTAAGTCGATTAATATATATTAAGAAATGGACAAAGTCCGACAATAAAAAAGAACGTTAAACATAAAAATGTCGATTAATATATGTATGTTTGTATACCTGTGTACATGTATGTGCATGTTTTGTATGTGTACAGCAACATCATGTTGAAACACTGGTTTCAGTACAATCGCTGAAGTTAAACCATGTCAAAACTGGTCAGTAGCTGGATGGGTGGCCACTTGAAAATACTAGATGCTGTAAGCTTGGATGTGCAGGTGATTAAATGGATAATGGCTCAGAATCGTTAATCAGAGAGCCAAGTTCAAATTCCAGTTGGGTTCGTTATATTCACTTATGCACAAACACTCTTAGGAAAGGTGTGAATCTGTCTCTTCTCTCCCCAGCTATGGGTTAATTAGTAAGACTCATACCACTAATAAAAAATCTTACAATCTAAAAATGTTTTCTGACTTTAAATAACCTGCAAAGGATTGATAAAAACAAATCAATCAATTGATCATATGTGTGTATCCTTGTGTATATATGTGTATGTGTGTGTATATTTGTGTATGTGTGTGTGTATCCTTGTGCATGTATGTATATGTGTATATCCTTATGTACAGATGTGCATATCTTTGTGCATATGTGTATATCCTTGTGTACATATGTATTTGTTGAATTGGAAGTATTTGGGCAGCGATTTTTTCATTTATGCAATTTGGTTAAAAGGCCAATGCAAGATCTTTATTTTTGTTTTTTGATATTTTTCAATATTTTTTGATATTCTTTGATAGTCTTCATTATTTTATTAGTGTTCTTCACTATTTTCCTGGTTTCCAATGAATATTTAAATACAAATTCTCCAATGTCTGAATATTTATAGCTTTTATCAATCATCATCAATTAGATTTTGTGTCTATTTTTCTATACATGTGTGTATGTTTATGTATGTGTATGTACCTTCATGTACATGTGTTTATACATGAATACACATGTATATATGTTCTTATATGCACATGTATATGTTTGTACACATGTTAGTATATGTGTGTATGTTTGTGCACAACTGTATATTTAAAAATGTGATTGTGTACATGTGTGTTTGTTTCAATATTTAGTTTGCATATTTTTTATATACATGAGTGTTTCAATATGTTTGTATATACAAAATTATAGAGATGGAGAACTGGTGTATATTTAAATCTACAATATGTTTTCCAGCAATTTTATTGATTGTGATTCATCAGGTCTTGTAGATTCTAGGGATAAATGCAAAACTCAAAAATTAACAAAATTTCTATATTTAATTATATAAATTATCTTTTTATTTCATTTTCTTTTGTGAATTTCCTCTTTGAAAAGTAATCACAATTGAATCTATGACGTTAATCTTCTTTTTTACATTTATTTTTACACTTTAAAGTACATGTCATGTTCCTGTTTTTAGCATAACGTTTTTCACTGACACGAAGTTGAAAGATTATATTGAATCAGTTGTGAGGTTTACTGCTAAGAATGTTGGTTCACTGTATCATACCAGGCAGTTTTTCTCTCCAGAATCTATCTTACATATTTATAAGTCTACCATTTATCCATGCTTAGAATATTTCTGCCACATATGGTCTGATGCTGCTTTAGAGATCCTTGATAAAATCCAAAAAAGAATCTGCAATGTCACTCGTCCTGACCTGGCATCTCAACTTCAGTCATTTTCCCACTTAAATAAAGTAGCCTCCCTCTGCCTTTTCTATAAATATTTTCATGGTAAATGCTCTAATGAACTCTCCTCTATGGTACCAAGAGTTCATGAATTTAAGCACAATACTAGATTGGCAGCAAGATCTCATCATTTTAAAGTTGAAATGGCAAGATGTAACTGTAAGTTTCTAAGTGGCTAAGAGTTTATTTTCTCACACTTCTCGCTTGTGGAACTCCCTTCCGGTTTCTTGTTTTCTAGTCAACCTTGATTTTCAAAAATTTAAATGTAATGCCAATCAATATCTTCTGTCTTCTTAATTCCTGTTCTTTTATTGTTCTCTCTCCTTAATGTTTTCCTTTTTCCTATATTCTTTCAGACTCAGTAACCTCCTGTGTTTTAGTGACTTTGTTGCCTTACTTGGGGTGAAATTATTAAAAAATAGATGATTGCATTACAAAATACTTGCATGCTGTTCCATTCTTTTATTTTCTTTAACAGGTCCCTTGTGCGAATATGAATCTGACAAGTGTGCCCAAAACCCATGCAAAAATGGCGGCACATGTTACAATGGCCCAGGCTCCTATTTCTGCAACTGCAGTTCAGACACCAAGGGCACCCATTGTGAGGAAATTCTTTTACCAAACATTTCATCCAACAGATATGGAATCACCCAAAAAGAAATCATTATTATCATTGGTGAGTAACGGGTCATGTGACATTTTCATATCATATGAGTGTGTGTGTGTGTGACTTTAAAGGCTCTTTACTGACCACTGCCAATTCTTCCATAATAAGCCAAGTTGGTTGCATTGCTAAATTCCACAGCTTTCTTGAGACCAATATAACAAATTTAGACTGGGCACTCTGACATGGTGTAATGATTAGCAAGCTTGTCTTGCTGGATCAATTTATGACTGAGTAGTGAGTTCGATCCTCACTGGGTGCCACATAGTTTCGGCCTTGTGTCACATCTTGCTATGCTTAGAAAATTACCATAACAAATTTGGACTGTCATTGCCACTTACTGAATATTTAAATGTCTTTTCATTAGAAGAAAATTTTTTTTTTTATATTGTATCAGTGACAGACCTACATCATTGGGGTCCTGAAGCTTAAATAGATATGAGGTGGGGGTAGGGGTCACAACCAGCAACAAAAGATTCAAGGATCCAACTGCCAAAATGTAGGCTATGAATAAATTCTGATGAGCCCAACAAACCCATACAGCTAGGGGTTCAGGCACTGCAAGCCGCCAAGAAAATTTTGAAATTTGACCAAATTACTGGGGAATTTTAAGGCCATATGAAATGGGTATTAGAGCATATTCTAAGGCCAGCATTAACTACTTCAGTATTGGTTTAGGATTCTATCACTAAACTCGCCTTATTTTAATATCAAACACTTAAAAAAAAAGAACATTGATTCACTCATTAAAAAAATTTACTTTAGTGGCCCCTCTGTAATTAGTGGCCATGAAGCTTAAGCTGCATTAGTTTCATAGTATATCTGCCACTGCATTGTATATAGTCTGTACTGACTGCTTTTATTGTCATTGGTACAGAAATTTTACTGACTACTTGTCAGTGAAAGATAGAGAGGAAGTGTTTGAGAAAAAGGAAGAGAGATTTCTGATTCCTAGCAGTTTCAAGCCTATGTGTTCCCTCTGAGGTGACCTTTTTATGAAAGGAGAAATTCTTTTTACAAATCACTCTCTCACTAATTGATAATTCATTAATTCACGATGAAAGGAAAAAGCACTCAAAGCTGCCATGCCCATCCTTGTCTTTTTTATTTTTGTGAACTGGGATTTGCAACATGGCACCCAAGTGGAACTGTCAGCTAATATTATAAACAATTTCGCTGGAGGAGGGGTGTTTTTATTGTGTCATCATCTCTAGATAAATTACAAACCCATACTAAATAGCTCCTGTCTGTTTGCTAGCATGGCAATCAGTTTTGGATTCGATGTTGTTTTTATTCTAAACTTGTTGCCAATCAAGGTTAAAGAATCCAATCTACTCTGCTATTTAACTCATTTTGGTGAGAAGAAGAGATAGATTCATGCCTTTTCCAGGAATATTTGTGCAAATATGAATCTAATGAACTTTGGCAACTTTCAAAATTCTCATTAGAGGAAAATATTTCTCTTTCCAAAATGTTAACTATTACAATACCTGGATATCCACCTGTTGAGGGGCCGGAGGTAAATACAGGTTTGGTTTGGTTTGTTTTGTGGCATATCAACCTCAATGGGTTATTTAATGCCGACAAGATATTTATTGCTGGTAATTTTTTTTTTTTTTCAAAAATGTATAGCTGGTAATATTGTTTTCCATCAAAAATCTATTTCTGGTAATATTCCTTCCTTCAAAAGATTTATTTCTGGTAATATTTTTTTCTTCAAAAATCTATTTCTGGTAATATTTTTCTTCAAAACTATATTGCTGGGAATATTTTTTTCAAAAAATGTATAGCTGGTAATTTTTTTTTTTTTTTTCAAAAACATATTGCTGGTAATAATTTTTTCCTTCAAAACTTTATTGCTGGTAATAATTTTTTACAAAGTATTTCTGGTATTAAAACCTATTTTTATACTTTCATAATGTTTTGACCCCATAGCTGGGACCCCTAACAGGGTGGATCTGGGGACACCAGCAATTAAGAGGTGGTCTCATGCTCCTCAAAACCTCCTGATGAGAGGCTTTGCTGTTGGATGCAGGCTATCGGCTTACCCGGGATGCTGATGTAGTTTATTGTCATACCCAGGATGGGTAAATACAGGATTTCATTTGATAGTCTTTATACATGTAACCCTTTGTATGTAACAAGCAAACACATACTCTTTCATTATTATTACATATGATCACATAGTCAATCAGATATTGAAAGATGGCATGAATACATGATGTACATTGGTAGAAACAAAATAAGAAACTAAAAGAATATGATTCGTAATCAATATGGTTGTGGAATTGCTAAACAGTGTTTTAAATTCTGTAGTGGCCTGTTGCATTCACTTTCACATTAAGGCCTTTAAAAAATGGCATGAGTATCTTCTTCTCCAGCTAGAAGTTAAATAGCAGGGTAGACTGGGCTCTCTAGCCTTGGGTGGCAACCAGTTTAAGAAAAGGAAAACACTGAATTCCAAACCATGGGGAAGGCAACAGAAAAGCACAAAAAATTTTGAAAATGTCAATTCATAGATAAAAAAAGAGGAGGAGTCTGTGGAGGGCCATGATCACCTACATCCTGAAGAGGCTTGCCTTTATAAATATAACCCTACTTTCCATTATTTTTCAATTGCAGGTGCCGTTAGTGGTCTGTTTGTTATCGTAATCCTGTTGATAGGTGTCCGCTTTTGGTATCAAAAGAAGCAAGCACGGCGTCGACCACCCCATACACGTTCCCGCTTGGCAGACAATGTCATCCTGAACAGCGCTCATGATGAGCTGAAGCAGCACAAATTGAGTAACAATGAGTTGAACCTGCCACAGAGATGCCCCAGCCCTCAACCGCCGCCAGTACCGAACCGCCCTGCCTCCTATACCCCAAGCAACCACGACTCCCTAAACACACTCAACAACTTTGATGCAGTTCGAAACTACGGCAGCGCGGCTGATCAGCTGGAGAATCTGAACAATATTCCGGTGTATACATTTGACCATTTGCAGACATTCAGCCCATATCCACGCAATTGCGCCAGTATTGCCCCCTCCCTCCCACCACCACCACCCTCCAACTCTGCATCAGATACAGATTCAATACAAAAACCAAACTGGGACCTTGATTATCCAAATATACTGGAGAACTATCCAGAATGTAAGTTGGTTCTTTTTTTTTCTTGCTTTATTTCTTTGGGAAATTTATATTTTTTTCATTTTCTTCACTTCATATATCTAATCCATTTTTTAGAAAACTTTCTTCCTCCATTAATATGACTTATCAATTAAAAATGTTCAACTTGACATTTCTTACAATTATGGGCTGATCAAAAATAACAATAACAAGGGAGATAACTTTAGCATGGTGTTAAAGCTCAGTTTTCTCTTAACATCAGCAATAATTGCAACTAGTCTTAACCCATGAAAATTAAACAGTTTTCCTACTTTGATATTTTGAAGAATCTTAATTCTTAAGTTAATGATTGAGTCAGCTCATGACAAGTTCTACGACCATAAAATATCTGTAGGAATTACCCTATTGTATTGTTAAATATTTGTGCTTAACAACTTTAACAAAATATTGCAATAATAATCATAAATATGACAGCTAGTTGTTATTTTAAGAAGTAAGGGGGTACAAATGAAAAGATTTGAAATTGACAACTTCTCTATTTCACTGAAATGGCTGTTAAACACTCTTTCATTCTTTCTTTCATTTTCTCACTGAAATCAAGTAGAGTATGATCTTTTCCCCTCTTTCAATGCAATCAAAAAAGAATAGCCAATTAGCCCATTATTTATGAGGTATTGGCAGGAATGTAAAAGTTGTATGAACAGCGAAAAGTGGAACAAGCCCAATTATAATAGGATACAGTAGACAATTCCTTATCTGGAAATCCCTTGGGACCAGACATATTTTGTATTTTGAAATGGCAATATATATATATATATATATATATATATATATTCTGTCTATGCATTATTTTTATAGATACAGTTATTTAAGTAAATTTAAAGAAACTTTAAACAGAGTACTTATTTCAATAATTTTATCTATGATAAAAAAACATATAAACAGAAAATATATTAAAATAATTGTCGGACTTAGTCCATTTCATAATATATATATATATATATATATATATATATATATATATATATATATATATATATATATATATGTTCACCTAATGTCCAGTTCACACTCCTCCCCAGTCTTTTGACTTTTGAATAGGAGTAGAGGTTTATTTATTGCTTGTTTCATGTTAAGGATTGGGTTTCCAATTCCTTCTCATTATCTTTCACTCTCAGTAGCCCCTTGTGTCTTAGTGGTATTATATTGCTTTACTTGGGTTGAATTGATTAAATAAACACACACACAAACACCTATATATATATGTGTGTGTGTGTCAGTGGCGATTCTGAGTCGATATTCAAGTATATCTATTTCAAAGCAACAAAAATCTTTCATAGTGCATCATTTTCATTCTTGATTTGAACTGGGTCCAAAATTAATTGTTTTAACTTCATGTTTCAAAATATTCACCAAAATACATTTTGTTGATATTATTCATAATAAAGAAAGTAAGTAAGTAAAAAAAGAATGAAATAAAATTATCATGTCTAGTCAGGTTGCATAAACCTGAGCCCTATCAAGCTGGAGACCTATCAACTTAATAAGCAATGTATTTCTTGCTTTAATTTATAAATAATTTTTTAATAATCCCTAATGACTTGTATGCCATGTTTTATTTCAACTTACTGTTTTTAAATGTTCATTTTAAATAATTTATTCCATATAGTATAAGGTTTTTTTAGCAGAATGAATCAATTGAAAAAAGACCAAATTAAATTTAGCCTGATTTAAAGTCAGCAAAAATTGAAGAAAGTGTCAGCCTTAACTCATTGACTGGAGGGTTGAGGGGGAGAGTGTGACTGGGATAGTGTTGAAGAAATATGGTATCAGTCAGGTACATTAAACTAATAATTAACAGACAGATACATTAACTAGGTTTATGTATGTGCCCACAGACACACATACACATGCACACTGACCCACACACAATGTTCCTGACTTTAAAAAAAGGAAGACATCTCTATCCACACCCTAGTCTCAGTGAGTGAAATATATATTTCTACTTTCTGATCCTACAACAACTGTTCCTATCTCTACCACCAGTGACTTGATAACAAGGCTATAAAACAATAAAAGTGGAAAGGGGACAATAAACAGACAAACATATCAAAGACTTTGTCCTCATTTACATGTCTGGAAATTTTTTAAAAATAAATGTTTATTTTTATAGAATGATACATAACAGAACAAACTAGTTGTTTTTTTTACCTTTTTTCTATATTTCATTAGTTTCAAGTCATCACTCTAACTATAAAACTTCAACATTTTGCTGTTTTTTTATTTTTTGTTCCAAAACTGTAATCTTCACTAAGATAACAGATTCATCACAAATTTCTGCAACAGTTCTGCTTTTTGAAGTATGGATAATGACAGATGCTTTCTCTCTCTCTCTCTCTCTCTAACTCTCCTGTCCATCACTGTCACTCATAAGGGTATCTGAGGCTCTTTTTGACAATCCCACAGTCCTCAAAGTGACAAAAAATTTAGCAAGCAAGTTTAACACTGACATAAAACTGAGTTAAAATTGATTTAAATGTGGGTCACATCTTGTCAAGTTTTAAATCTGAATAGTATCTTTGGTATTAGACAATCTCCATGAAAAAAGATTTTGGTTTTCAATTCTTTTAATTTTTCAGAACTTTGCTTGAGAGTTTGCATACTTGTAATGTTATCCTAATTCATCATTTCATTTTTATTTCTGTAACCAAAAAGTAACTAAAGTTTTTATGCTGCAAAATCACTGTTTATAAAACAGAAAATGAGACAGGTGTTTTTAGTACTTATAAAGAAATTAAAAATCTAATTTAATTTTGATACTGAGTCTGAAAATTGAATTAATAGTAAAAAATAAAACTTAATTACCAAAAGCAATAAAAACAAAATAGATGAGAATGCTAATTTCTTTAATAATGATCCAGTTATATATCTATATCAGCAAAACTAATAAAAACTGCAATAAAAAAGCTACACAAGATGTTTGTATTTGAAATAATAACACATGAATTTCACTTTAAGCAGAAGTTTTCAAGAACTTGACCCCAGAGGCTCAAATATAATTCAATGTTTAGTAGTGATACATGATTAAAAATGAAAGTAAAAATATTTTTCCATATAAACCTACCAACATAACCAAAAATGATTCTGTTCTGTCATATTTGACAGAAAAAATATTATTTCAACTAAAGAAAGGAGTTAATGATTTAATCCAAGAAGCCTTCCAAAAAAATAAAAACTGATGCATTGTTTTTTGTCAATTGCTTAGATAATAGGAATTTGATTTTTTTCTCATGCTGAGAATTTTTTCATCACCCCCTTGTATTATAATTTTTCATAAGATAAATATTTAACATAAATACTGTAGATTATTACTATTTGGTACAATGATTGTCTATCAGGTATATTTTGCCAAACAAGCTGTGTTCTGATTTTGAAAAAAAAAAAAGTCTTCAATATGTAAAAGTTTTCGTTTACCAGTTCAGTTTTTATGTTCCTTGTTTTTTGTTTTTTTTCTTGTATTTTTAAATTTAAAAAGAAAAAAAGTAAATTTCTCTTACAAAGGTTTGACTGTCTTTCCTGCAACGGGTAAAATTGGCTGAAAGTTTTACAGTTCTTTTAACACAAATTGTCAAATACATACATACATACATGAGTACAATGTTTTCTCTCTTATACATGCATACGTATGCACGCAGGCACACAACAAATATTTCATTTGGTGCTGAAAATATTTTGGCTTGACCCACTCCACCAAATCAGTATTCTGATGTTTGATAATTTTTTTAAGTGACCCAAGCCAGCCACTTTTTTATCACCCCATTAAATATATATATATATATATATATATATATATGAATTATTAATATTATTTCGTTTTCCACTGCATTCTTTTCAAGGTTTCTCAATTGCAGTAACCTTACTGTTAATTTCACTCAAAGGTATTTTCTGTTGCCATAGCAGGATAAGACAACATAACAATGAATTGAAACATATTCAAATTCAGGCATCAGAGTCACCTCCAGTGGCGGGATAAACTTTTTGTACAACAAATACTGAGTGATAAATGTTAAGGCTATGCTTGTTGCAAAATAACTGAGTTAAATTTTATACTAATAACAAATATACATTTTGTTTCTCAGCATTTAGTTCAAGTTTGAGTTTCATGCACATGGTAATCATCAAGCATGGAGTGAAAACAATTGCCACATGAATGATATATATATATATATATATATCCAAATGAAAGAAAGTACAGATGGAGTAAAAAGAGTAAAAATCCACTGTTTGTAGGATTTACTTTTAAAAAATGCTCAATAGAAAGTAGAACAATATATTATTATTATATTTTTATTATAAGAGATAATAAAAACATTTTGAAATCACTACACAAAAGCTTTCACATTTCAGTATTATGATTGTTTTTCTTCAGGTGATTAAATGCTGAAGAAATACAATCATAGTATTGAAACATAAAAGCTTTTGTGTAGCAATTTCAAAATATTTTTATTATAATCTCTTATAATAAAAATACAATAATAATATATATATATATATATATATATATATATATATATATGTGTGTGTGTGTGTGTGTGTGTGTGTGTGTGTGTGTGTGTGTGTGTGTGTGTGTGTGTGTGTGTGTACACATAAAAAATGGAATGTCTTATATGCCATAAAATATGACATATATATACTGGCTGAAGAAACCTTTATTGATGGAAACCATGGAAGCAGAAAAGGTTGGTGTTTATAATATATATTGCTATCTAATATTTAAAATATAATAAACACCAACCCTTTCTGCTACTATAGTTTCCATCAATTTTTTCAATTTTTTTAAACTGTGTATTGAGCAATTTCTTTAAATATAACTGTCTCCTAGACAAGATATACCTTGTCAAAAACAGTTTAATTATATAAGGAAAAACTTAACACATCACAAAATTTTGTATTTTCGTGATGAGTTAAGCTTTTTTTTGTATATCTTATTGCTCTGTATTCTATACATTGAGCGCTCTACAGAT